TCCCTGACAATTTTCAAGCGACAGCTGAAAACTCATCTCTTTAAAAGCTACTTGACTTCATCTTTAAAAAAAAAACAAACAAAAAAAAACTTTCTCTTTATTTATTCCTTCCCTTTTCTAGCTTGTACTTATTTGAACAATGCCTAAAACTTGGTATTTCAAGCACTTCCTGTGTCTGTTTGCCTCTTTAAGAAGAATCGCTTTATATATTCCCCAATTGTAAGTCGCTTTGGATAAACGCTTCGGCTAAATGACTAAATGTAAATGTAAATGTACGTCTGATATAATACACTGTATTTTTATGTATCATCATCTTCTATTCTTAACTGTTTTCATTCATTTTAAATCAATTTTTAAATCATTTTAAAATGTAATTCTTTGCTTTCATTGTTGTGATAATTTTTATGATTATTTTAATTCCTTTTCTGTAAAGCACTTTGAATTACCATTGTGTATGAAATGTGCTATATAATAAATAAACTTGCCTTGCCTTCCTGAATGGAAACATGATTGCCCATCCTCTTGCAGATGATTTAATCCTGGTTCGCCAGATTCTATATGTTTGTATTGTAGAAAAATAGCATGAGTGGATTTTTTTTGACCCCATAGATAACTAACAAGGGTGATTATAGTGCTGTGCAAATCAAACAGAGTTATTTTCTTGGGTTCTTAAATAAAAATAAGAACACATGCTTCTTTGGGAAACTCGAAACCTTTCACTTATTAACATTCACACAAACTGTAAGGGCAACCATCATTCTGCGTTCTCTGCTCAAGTCTCTCCCTCCTCTGCTGCTGTCTTACTGTATGAGGGAAGAAGGTCGCTTTACCCGAGAAAAGAAATATGGGGCGATATAGCCAGGGGTGCACATCATTTTTTCAGTCTGGTTCTTGTGAGAGCACCTGGAGATTTAGTTTGGTACTCACACTGGTAGATTCTACATTCAAACATATTTATGTTTACTGATATTTATGTATCAGTATTTAGAGAAATGCTCAAACATACCTCCATGCACCACTGCGTGTCTTGTGTGGTCCTCCAAGTGAAGTGTAATGAGTAATTTTCTTTACTGGTGAAACTGCAGCAGGGACCCCTCGTCCCGGCAGAACTGCTCTGCATCAGGCTCGGACCGAAAATGCGTAGAATGCTGTAAAACATGACAAACAAACATTATGTGATCTTAATTATATATGCATATAAACATAAATATAACAATGAGAAAATGCTTTGGTGTATAATGTGTATAATAATAATCAAAGCCTCTTCTTTTGAGCTAAATCATCATAAGTAGCTGTTCAGTTAATTTCTGCACGACTGTCTGCAGAAATAATTATTTTATTTAACGAGCTTATTACTGACATAAAGGTGATGTTATGCTAAATTAAAGAAAAATAGTGACAGTTTCCTTCTACAAAAGGCCTAATTTTAATGAGGCTGGTGCCACCTATTGGACACTTAATTTGTTGCATCAATGTATACATATACAGTATATATATATATATATATATTCCTTTGAAGTATTTAATGTGCACATGATCTCAATCGCACATTCATTCTAGCATAAAACACGATAAATAGGACTCTAAATGCAACTGTTTGAATATTATGAGGAAATATTTCACTTTGCTTTATCAGATAATTGATTTAAAGTAAAGTAGTATATAAATTTGAAGCAATTTATATCTGCTGGATTTATATATGTCCTTATCTTTATACTGTGGCATTGTTGCTTTATATTGTTCAGCTAATACTGTTTTCTGTCTTGTAAGTGTTCATATATTCATTATTGCTGTTATTGTTCATTTATAGAACCACACTCATACTGATGTATGATTCAAATGGGAGCAGTAAAGGAGTTTATTGTGGACATGGACAGAGTGATTTATTGTTCTGGCTGGACAATCTGTAGCGGTTGCCACATAGAGTAAGAACTGCATCGTAAACTTCTATACATGCCTAGCTCTTAAAAGTGTAATGTATGAAAATATTTATTCAGATATCAATGAATAATTAGGCAAAGTGTGAACTAGAGATATTGGAGTTGAGCTGTTTCAAGGGTTAAAATGGCATAAATGAATATCTTCTCTTCATGTTTCTCACCTGCAGTGAAGGATCAGTTTCAGAGCAGATCTTCATCTCTTCTTTCTCTCTCGCATATCCCTCTCTCCACTGCACTCGTCTTCTCTTCAGCTCTTCTTCATGCTGTTCTTCAAGCAGTTTCAGTTTCTCTTCAAGAGTCTTCTGTTGATCTTCTCTCGTGTTTCTTTCTTCTTTCAGTCTCTTCTCTGAATCCTCTAGTTGTTCTCGTCTCTCTCTCTTTCTATTCTCTCTTTCTCTCTGACTAATCCCTCCATTTCGCTCTTCAGTCTCGGAATCTGTTCATCACAAATCTGTTTCTCTCTCTCTTCTTTTTCTCTTTGTATTTCTTCTAGTGTCGGTTTCTTCCACTCCTCTCGTTCTCTCTTCATGTTCTCATGCATCTTTTCCTCACTCTCTTCTCTCTCTTAAATTACTCTTTAATGAGGGAGAACTATATTAAACTCCTCTTCTCTTTCTCTCTTTATCATGATTCTTTATTTCTTCCTCCATTATCATTTTCATTCTCTTTTTCATGTTTCTTTATCAGTTCTTCTCTTTCTCTCTTCAGTTTCTCCATCATCATCTGGTTTCTTCTACTTCATGCTTTCTCTTTCATTAGTGTTTTATATTTTTCATCTCTCTCATTAAATTCATCTTCTCTTTTCTTTCCTCTATTTCATGGCTGAATGTCTCTCGTTCTCGTCTCGTATCTCTCTCTGATGTTTCTCTTTTTCTATTATTTCTCTTTTGAATTCCTCTTCTCTTCTCTTTCTCTCTGTCTTGATTCTGTCGTTCTTCTTCCATCATCATCTTCATTCTCTCTTTCTCTTCCTTATGTTTCTTCATCTCTCCTTCTCTTTCATCAGAGGAGATCCAGGTTTACCCAAACACTGTTCGATGGTCTTCTTCTTCAGGAAATCTCCTCTGGTGAAGAGCACCATCGTGAACTTTAATGAGTTTTCACTGAATGTCTGATGTGATTCACTAGGAGCTGCATGTTTAATATGGATCAGGAAATGTGAGATTTTAATTTTCGAAACTAAATTATTTTGTAGCATGTTTCACATTTATTTTCAAACTCAAATTATTCAGATTGTTAAAATTACAGCAAAACGTTCAGATTCACTGCTCCAGAGGATTGTAGTAGTTCAGTGATTGGCCGAAAATGATCAGTTTGACTTTTGTAATAATTTTAATTTCCTGTGAAACACTGAAGCTTGACCCCTGACCTTATTTCTGTCAGGACCACTATCGTCAAAATGATAGATACTTAGCATAAAGTTTGGTTTGGCGGTATGGTTCTGTTCTGGGCAAAAAACCTCCCTGCCCATCCATGCAGCCTGTCATGAATGAGCAGGGAGAGCAGCAATAATAACCCCCCAGGGTTAACAGAACAGAACAAGGCAGATATCATTAATGTACTCAATGATATTTAAGTGATGGCATTCTGAAAGAAGCATATCCTTCTGGAATAACAGAGACTGGGGCAGCAGCAACTTACAGGAGAAGGCAGCGAAGGGGTGCTCTTCTTTATAAGCAGCTGAGCAGCAAGCCCCTTACCGGAGGAGAGTAGCAGCAAAGGGGTGCTCTTCTTTATAAGCAGCTGAGCAGCAAGCCCCTTACCGGAGGAGAGTAGCAGCGAAGGGGTGCTCTTCTTTATAAGCAGCAAAGAGCAGCAGCAAGCCCCTTACCGGAGGAGAGTAGCAGCAAAGGGGTGCT